TACATAGCTCAAGGTGCTTCCTCATGTCCACATGGGCCCCACACAGGGTCAGTAATCCCCTGGGGCCTCCTCCACACAGCCTCATTGATAGTGAAATGGTCATGACCCATCAAAACTAGAGGCTGGAGAGATGGCAGGGATTAAGAGCACTGGATGCTCTTGCAAAGGACCTAGGTTTGGTTCCCAGCACCTACACAGCAGCTAACAACAATCTTAATGCCAGTTCCAGGGGACCCTCTTCAGACCTCCTTGGGCATTGCAAGCACAGATGCATGTACATACATGCAGGCACAACACTCATACACATATTTTTTTTAATTAAAAAATAAAACTAAGAGCAGCCTAGTTTCCTTGTGCCTGTCCTCTCCCAGGTGAGCCAGCATTCTAGTCTGGAAAGGATGACACCCGAAAGAGCCAATGAGTCAGCTTGGTAGGGACTTCCAGAGCCCACAAGGGCCAGAGCAACATAACAGGAAGGAGCACTTCCCTGGTCAGATGAAAGCATCCCTCCCTCACAGGACCATATAAGTGCCTGGAAGCTGCCCCTCTCCTACACAAAAGCCAGACAGTGTTGTTTCTCTGCCTCCCCAGCTGTGACATCACATCATTCATTATAGTCTCCTGGGGAGCTGGCCTTACCAGTGGGAAAACATGTGTCCTGCTTTTGACTGACTGGCCCTGGGGTAGAGAATGTGAGTTCTTCATAAATTGGGCCATTACCTGAGAGCTGCAGGGATTTTAACAACTGTGGCTAAGATTACTTCCAGTATTCCTCTGGTACAGCAAGTGACCAGAGAATACTAGTATGGCCTCTATTTTGCAAATCAGGAATCAGCTACTTGGTCATCTTCCAAGACAAGAAAATGCTTCCTAGTTTAGAAGATTGTTTCTTGGTCAACTAAGGCCAATATGCTAAACAGAGCCCCAAGCAATAGGAGCAGAGTCTCACTTTTTTTTTTTTAGATTTCTCTTCCTAAAGTGATCAATTACAAGTAACCCAGACCTGATCAGCCCAACGTGGGCATATCTTGAAATCCTCCCTTCAAATGTGAAGTCTGTCAGGATGGGCATTCTCAACTTCAGGACCACCGACTTTAAGGGCTGGATAATCTTTGCTGTGGAGCATTCCGGGGCTGTGAGAAGTCAGTTACATTCCTGGCCTCTTTCAACCAGATAGATGGCAGGAGCACTTTTACATGTCTCCAGGTATCAGGCAGTATCTCTTTAGGAGATTAAATCACCCTTGGTTGGAGGGATTTACTACACCTGGAATACAGTTTCTTTTCGTGATAGCTGAGTCTAAATCAGAGATGGTAATCCAAGACCAGACTGGATTAGCACATGGGCTCCAGCAGCCCTGGAAGACACCGACAGTCTGGAGCATCCACTTTCCTCTCTGGTGGATTGAAACTATGAAAGGATTGCTTGCTGGGATCTGTGTCACTTATAGACTGTGTGATGATTTTTTGACTGCTTATCATGGCCCAACCTAATACCGAAAGTTATGTGTTAGAGCAGGTTTACCAAACTTGAATTTGTCACTAATAAATGGTATTTATGTGCCTATTTTTCTCAGAGAGAAGTCAAAAATGTCTTTACTTGTTCTGTGGTTCTGAAGGTTGCCTAACTAGTTGTAGTGATGGAGAAACTGAGGGTTACAGAGAAGTTAGGAATGAACCGTAGAACAGCTTGCATACATAACCTTTTACCCAAGCAACTTGGAAATCTACACTCAAAGGGATCTCTCAGATTAATAATATTTTTCAGAAACATCTGTTGGAGAGAATAGGGTTTGTTGTTTTCAAACTAATTGAAACCATTTTGAATGTATTAAATATATCTAGTGTATTAATTGGCGTAGGGGTCTTTAGTTGAAAATATGCACTTAGATTGATGTGGTCTTACGTTCTTAATTCTCCTACAATTTCTACATACCTTGTCTACGATAATATTATGTTACTCCTCCAACATGTATACACTTCTATTAGTTTTTTCTTGCCAGAGTCTAAACTTAGTATACATTTGTGTGGCATTCTTTTCTTAGAGAAGATATTAATTTTTTCCTAATTTTCATTACAATGCCAGTAAAAAGAATTAAGATGAATTGACTTTAAATTTTCTCTTCCATGTCAATGATATATTTTGTTCTGGAATCACAATTTTACAATTTTAAACAAATCTCTACAGTATCATTTTAAGAAAAATGGAGTGTACTTTTGCTGACCTTCAATGACATTATCTCTGTGAAAAGCAGCACTTTCTTGAAAACTTCTCCAGCACTTTCCGTGGCCTTAATTGACAACAAATCTCTCGGCAGTTGCTACTAAGCAAACATGAGTGACTCCTGGACTTATGCATTGAGGATTTGTTTTTAAACATTGTTATGGTCTAAACCTTTCCTTGACTCTACTTTTTAGGGTAGTACATGCTACTATAAACCAGTTAATAGAAGAGTTAACCTATATATTAGTTTTTGAGCAATTCTTTTTTTTTAAGACTAAGAAAAGCATTACGAACAATTCAGATGCAATTAGATTAAGAGGTCCTGGTCAATTTAAAGGTGTCAGTGCTAAAACCTACACAGAACCCAGGCAGGGACATAGTCAAAGGCAAAAGTCAAAAAAAAAAATTCTGGGGGGCCTGGAGAAAGCTCAGCAGTTAAAAGTACTGGCTGTTCTTGCAGAGGATCCAGGTTCAGTTCCCAACACCTATATGGCAGCTAACAACCATCAGTAGCTGGTTCCAGGAAATTCAACACCCTATTCTGGCCTCCATGGACACTGTTCACACATGGTATACTTGTATACATATAGGCAAAACACTCATAAATATAAAATAAATAAATAAACAAATGTTTTTTTTTTTTAAAAAAAAAAAAAAGCTCTCCTGTAACTGTGTTGAGTCACCTGTCTTCCTGTTCAGGGAGGCCATGGAGACCCCATCAGATAGTGTCCAGTCTACAAAGAGGATGGTAAACTCAGAGAAAACATTTCCTCCATGCTTCCAAGTGAAGCCAGCCATGGTTGAGTAGGACCTTTGACTTATCTTCACATAGATGGAAATGGTAAAAGAAAGGAGACAGGGGCTCCTCCCAAGCCCATGTGACCCCTGAGGAACAGATCCTCGAAGAACCTTAAGTGTAAAAATAAATTGGTTTATTTACTGTATGGTCTTAAACACCAAAAAGGAAAGTATAACCAAAGATTAAAGTGATCAGTATATTTCTTTAAGAGATCAAGGGATTACACTTCCCAGACATTAGACTTAAGTCCATATAAAATGTTATTTAGACAATTATTTCTCATTGATGATTTTGTTTTTAATCACAAAGTGCTGCTCAGACGTAAGACTTCAAATCTTGGTCTACAATACTGTAGTGCCCACCTGCAGCTAAGGGAGACAACCCACTGTTGTTCTAAAATGATGACTTTTGTTTTCTCCCCCTATCTAGAAGCCTTTGTGAGGGAACTGACACTGATTCTAGCTACTACAACAGCTATCAAAGTGCCTGAAAACAAATCCTGAGTCTATCACTCTTGAGTCCAGCCTTGGCAGACAAAAGAAAAATGAGGAAGAACCCAATGGAGGGATGTTTTTAGAAGCCCTTGTCAAGAAATTCCAATGGACTCTCATACGAACATTTGAAAATTGCCCTGTTCTGACTTTTTTCTAGTTCCCTATCTAGAACTTGTAATGCTAATTACTCTCGCCTTTATGTCTCCTTCACATCTCCTATTCATGATTCAAGGACTTTCTTTTCCCTCTACAGATAAGAGTCATGCAGTTTGGCAGTCTTTTAGACAGACCCACTGAAGGGGTACCCCAATTGTCTCACCCTGCATCCCTGTTCAGCATGGAAGAAGCCAGAGCAGTCTGCATCCTGATTCCCTATCAGCAATTTGGGTAACCTCTTCAGGGGATGGTGTGATAAGAATAGGAGGTAGGAACTGGCTAGACAGTTAGGGTAAAAAGACCCCAAAGTAATGTAGCCAGTTTCTTGGCTAAAAGTCTAATTGTCCTTGGGCCTCTTAGCAACATATTCTGTTCCAAAGGCCAAAAATGTCAAAAGTGTTTGGGAGCTCTTATCTAATCCCTAAAAGATTTTAGGGTTACCTCTTCAGAGAGGGGAATGTTAGAGTAGCAAGAAGCCCCATAAAAAAATTTAAAAAAAAAAGAGTACACAAAGTTGTTAGGATAAAGTGATGGAAGCTATGGGAGGAGTTGGAGGGGAAGGAGTGGGGGGTGTGGATTTGATTAAAACACCTTATATGCATGTGTGAAATTCTCAATAATTTTTTTTAAAGTTAAAAATAAAAAAAGAGCTCTAGTTGGCCAGTGTCTGTTTAAACCCATAAATGTACTAAGAATAAACAATAAGCTTATTAGTCCATTACCACATTAATTTTTCTTCTTCTTTGATTTTTTTAATATTGGCAGCAATATAAGATCTTTCAGAGCAAAATTTTTAAGCAATGTATCTAAGTATTTCTACAAATCAGCATATAGCCTAGACAAGAGTCTTATTCCCTATTGGCAAAAACTTTTTTCAAGACCTATTTTAAAGTTATTTTTTTTTATGTTTCTTTCAGATTCATGAAAATTTTCCTTACAATTGTCATTACATTTTAGTTAAATTTCAATTTCCAGCTTCCTAATCAGAAAGCTTGTATTATTTAGTCCCAAATAAGTTAAAATCTAACATGAATAGAGCTAAGACACATGAATATGTGAAAAATCTTTGCCAAATGAACTGAACAGTCACAATCAACTGGTTTGAACTGTGAGCTATGTTTGAGTCACATTCCCTAAAACTAAAGATCTTCTACACATCCATGTGTCTCAGAATTCTTTCTATGTTTATGAAGAATAAATAATCCCACAATAAAGCTCCTCCAAAAGATTCAAAGCTGTACCCCAGGCTTCTCCATGTGTCCAGAGGCAGAGGGTAAGGAGTAGAAGGTTGGCCACCCAAGGGAGGCAGGGAAGAGACCACCACTCACCATCACTGCAGGACGAGATACTGAGTAAACGGCAGGGTTGCCCAGGGCAGAATCCTCAAAGTAGCTCATTCTGTTGTGGCACCTGTGCAGGAGAAAGTGTTGGCTGAGCCACTGGCTACACACAGATATAGGGACATGAATCCCCCCAAAGCATCTGAGTCCTAGACCTAGGTGTCTCCCTAGGAACAACTAAGTTCACTTCTTTGTGAGGCAAAGAAGTAAACAGAATTCAGAAAGTAGGTGACCAACCCGAGGGACACAGTGAGGTAGACCCCAGCCATAGTCAGGCAGCCTGGGTCACAGACTCTATGTGCTGCAGACAATGCAGTGACAGGGTCTATAAAGGGTAACTTGAAACTTTCTGGACTGGAACCAAATCATATCTTTCAAAATAAGATCTTCATTCATTTATCACCTGTTTCTGCCTATTCCTGGCACATAACAAGAATTCAATACAGAATAGCAATTAATGAAGGACTACATAGAAACTGAATTAGAGAAAATAAAAATGGAAAAATCTTCCCTGAAGAGCTCCCTCCACCCCCATCTCCAACCAGGCAAAGAGACTGGACAAATTCGTCTGGTATCAGGAGAAGGGCTAGAAAATAACTCTTGTTGAGAGCTATTATCTCTCTTGGAGGACCGAATGGTAAGAATGTTTACAGAATGTTCTAGCTTGAAGGAATTTTCCAGCTAACTGCCAGTCATCAGGAAGATCATTGATATGTCAAAATTTCTGTTGACCTGAGTGCTCTCTAGAGTATACAAGTTCACACACTTTCAAAAATTCAATACTGCACATAAAAATATGCCTTTCAGGCCAGGCGTGGTGGCACAAGCCTTTAATCCCAGCACTTGGGAGGCAGAGGCAGGGGGATCTTTGTGAGTTCGAGGCCAGCCTGGTCTACATAGTGAGTTCCAGGCCAGTTGGGGATACAAGGAGACCCTGTCTCAAAAAGACAGAAAAAAAAAAATGCCTTTCTTAGGAGATTTAGATTACATTTCTAGGCCTATCATTCAGAGGCTGAATGAATCCCTATTGTTAGGAAGTGTCCTTTCAACTCATTGCATTCAAGTTACTACCTGTCTTTCTCTCCATTCCTGTGTACACTTAAAACAATCAACATATTTCAAGAAAAATAGAAAGTACTAAGATGGGTTTTGTTCTAGTCTGTTTTCTATTGCTGTGATAAAACACTGACCAAAACCAACCTGGGGTGGACAGAGTTTATTTCATCTTACGGAGAGGTCAAGGCAGAAGTTCAAGCAGGAACTGAAGGAGAAACCATGGAGGAACACTGCTTACTGCTTCCCAGGCTCTCCTTCAGCTATCTTTCTTATACATCCCAGGTCCACCCAACTGCCTAGGGATGGTACCGCCCACGGTGGGCTGAGCCCTCCTACATCAATTAGCAATCAAGAAAATACCCCACAGACAGGCCCACAGGTCAATGTGATGGAGGCGATTCTTCCATTGAGGTTTCTTCTTTCCAGTTAGGTCAACTTAACAATCAAGATTAGCCATCACAGGTTTTATGTTCAATTTGCAGTTCTGGTTCACTATCTTGATAGCACATGATGAAGAATGACAGATCTACTTTCACATAAAGTATATCTACATGATACAGCTAAACAGGCTTTGCAATACAAAATTGTACTAACAACTTCACCCACTTAGCCACTAGTATCAATCAAGGACAAGGCTTATAAGGCAGAACCTAACCCAGAGCTCTGGATTTTTTTGTTTTGAAGTACTTTGCCTTGTTAAGATATCTTTTCTCTTCAAAGTTCAATACAGCCCAAATAACATTAACAAAAATTAATTAAATAAAAATTAATTAACTAAGCAATCTAGGTAGCTAGGCTGTGTTCATTAAGAGTTCATCTGCGGTTCCTAGGGCATCCACCCCACTGTACCACAAGGCCCTAGGACACACACCCCAGTGGGTGGGACTGAATGGTAGAAGTACATTGCAGGGCTGGAGAGCTGGCTCAGTGGCTAAGAGCACTTGCTGCTTTTGCAGAGGACTGGGGGTTCAGTTCCCAGCACCCACATGGTGGTTTCACAACTGTCCATAACTCCAGTTCCAGGAGATCCAGTGTCTTCTTCTGGCCCTGCAGGTCTTCCACACATGGTATACTTATACTCATGCAGGCAAAACTTTCATAAACACAAAATAATTTTTTAAAAGAAAAGGCTATTGTTACCACTTGTCAGTGGGTGTCAATTCAGTGTTTCTTGCTAAAATTAATGAACAGCTACCCAGTCTCAGTCTCTGAGCTGGATACTTATGGAGTAGGAACAAGGTCCACACAACACAGGTCAGCACAGAACAGGTCTGTCCTGACCACATGTTGTGAGAATAGTGTCCAGGAGCTCAATGGCCCTTTCCCCACTAAATAATTCTGTGTGTTTTACCTGAAAATTAATTTTTAAATGTCCAGGCATGAAAGAAAGAATGCTGCTTCACAAGAGCTATTCAACCTGCTGATTTCCCTCTAAAAAGTACCACAGATCTCCTCTGTCCATCAGGTCTGTTCCTCATTCAGCAACTAGACAGCAGGCTTCCTTTATTGGGAATTTACTTATTCTGTCAATAAATAATACTATGTGCCTACTATGTACCAAGCATGTTGTGGGCCCTTGAGACACACTAGCAAACAAATACAGATTCCTGACCTCCTAGGCCTTGGCTTCTACCAGACTCAGGGTTAAAAGGCTATAGCTTCAGGCCATGGAGAAGACAGATCCACGTGTAACTGTAACATATCATGATCGGTAGTTTGCCAAAAATATGGAAAAAATAAGCAGGGGCCGGTTCTGCAGAACACAGGGAATAGGAAATCATGGAAGATTGCACAGAGTGAGGTGTGAGCACATGGCTCTATGAATCATCTAGACTCCCACAAGCAGGAAAGGACCTTCTGCAGGCCTAGTTTACTTACACATCTGTAAGAGAAAGGACTTTGGGAATTGGCAGCAGTGTCCTGGAGCCCAGCTCAAAGACACCAAGAGTTTCTGTCTGCCCGCCAGACAGCATGCCCCCTCATAGCAACACACTTGGAAAGTGGTTCAGTGGAAACATGTTTTCTCTTCCAGTTGATGGAGGGAGGGAGGAAACCTCTGGCCGAACATCTGGTGCATTCTGTGCTGGACCATACTCTCCACAACATGAATGACACTTCCCCTGGGGAAAAGCCCTTTGCCCAGGGAGGAAACTGAAAAGAGGGAGTTGCCAGAGATCTCAAGGGCTCTCATCTCAGGAAATAACTCTGGGACAGAAAAGGATTGCTGCTTCATTATTTTTTTGGAGAAAGAAAAAAAGGACCTGTCCTCTTCCAAGTTGTAGATTATGACACAAAACAGCTGCTGGAGGTCTAAGCCCTTTCTGAAGATGTAAGAGAAGTGTTTGGAGTTTTCTGTGTTCGAGCTTGTTTTTTTCTCCCCTTGGCTTTTTGGCCAAAGAGACTTCCCTCCCACATGACAACTGCTTGAACATCAGCTGGACTTGAACATTTTGTCTTGGCCTTGCACATGTATATTACTTAAATAGAAAACAACTGTGTGAGTTTAAGATTTTCTCCCCAGCTGAGAAGCGGCCCTGAGACCTGTCTGAGTGTAGAAATGATTTGAACACTTAGCAACAGCAGATCATGCATAGCTAAATTCTCCTCAATGGAACCAACATAATCCAAGTGGCAAAGCAGATGCAGCCCAATGAATTGAGACTTCCAAGCTCATGCACCCAGCCTTCCACATTACCTCCATCTCCTTAGCCCACAGGACCCCAGTGAATCATCCATTGACCTGCACTATGAACTTGATGGTTCTCCCTCCCCTGCCCATCTTGAGGTCCACTACTACTGGTAATGCCCTCCACCCTCAGGTGCCTCAGGAACAGCCTCCTGGAGGCTTTCAGCTGGTCTCAGAAGACCTCGCTGCCTCCACCCTTCACTCAGCCACTCTTACCCCAGCCAGGACTTGTGGCTCCTTCCCAAAGTCTCCAGCATGTTATCTGCACATTGTTTGCACTCACCATACTGGTCTACCCACATCTGTTTCTACTTATCTCTTCCACTAAATTCTGAACTACTTGAAGGTAGGCATCATGTCTTTTTCACTCTGCATGACAGAAACGGATTGTTTTTGAATCTGTGGATGGATGAATGGATGGATGGGTGGATGGATGGATGGATGAACTGTTCTCATAAGACTAAGAAAGGAAAAGATGGATCAGATGGGAATGCATTCATTTTTCAAATTGGAGAATCTGAATAGATCACAGATCTGGCTAAAAAAATACATGAAATGACTTTGTTCCGTGTCCATCTCTAAGCAGAATCTGCTTCCTTCTGTTCATGCGGCTATTTATGTAATGCCACCTTACCTAAGAAGCCTTTCTCCCTCTGCCCTATGCAAGTAGCTGCACTGGCCACTGGGAGACTTAGCTGCTTATCACCTCCTCCAAGCCCCACCTCATTAGAATTCAAGCTCCCCAGAGTAGGCTTTATTTAATCTATTCCTTCTTCCTTTGCCTCACCTCCCCCAGGTCACTCAGTCTTTGCAAGTGGCTAGCGCACACATAAGTGCTGAGGATCAGAGTCTAAGTTAGAAAACTTACACGCAGCCTGCAGCTCATGTCAGTCCCCCTTTCAAATGAGGAAGAAGACTGAGACCTCACTGTCACTTGGCCCAGCCAGACCTGACTAAAAGGTTTGGCTTATGGGAGTGTCTCGTAGTCAATGAAACCTTGTAGAACTAGTTTCCCATTTTCCTCTATAGAGTTCTGTTCCCTGTACTATGTGGCCACTTCAACTTCCTCCTCCAGAGGCCTTGCAACCCTCCTAGGCTCAGCAGACTGACAGTCCCTCTCACCTAAGTCTCACCAGGGTAGATGGGTGGAGTGACACACTAAGTAAAGAGAAGATTAGGGAGCAAGAGGTATCTGTAAAGTCAAGACAACTAAATAATAGGAGATCTGGAAGATACAGTCCTCAATCAGGGCAGAATCCAATTCATACAGTTCTGCCCTGCTTGATTCTCTCTAGATAACATAATATCAGTCAAGGGTTTTTTTGTTT